GTTTTGGAAAGTGCAAATTTGATAAATTCAGCTTTGAACACAAACTGAAATTGAATTTCTCCTCCATCCCCAATAGGCTGAGAGTTAGTGAGGGTCCAAAGTTCTTCCAATGAGCATCATTTCCTCCTTAGCTGTGGTCATTGGACCTCATAAGGCAGGAGGCAGGGGGGTAAATGGCAGGCATAGTCAAATGAATGTTTCGTCCCCATCCTCTTCCTCGATGAGTGTAGGAGTGCAAATATCCAGAGCGTGGGGTCAGGTGGGATTACTATGAGGAATTATAAAATATGCATCAAGCCATTGTGTCCACGATTAATGCATTGTGTTGACTGGGTTTGATACATTGACAATAATTTCTGATCAAATCCCACAACCCTCTGCATCTCTGGCCATTTCCTCTACTGCCCATTTCTCTTGCTTGACAAGTCAAGTCATGTACACTGCCGGTTGCTTCGCCAGGCAGGCGTCCTGGATCATCTAAGATAGTGGGCAAGCTTCTTTGAAGTAGCTTTCTGATATGTTAATCTTAGGATGTTATCTTAGGGCCAGGAAACAGGTTTCACATGAAGGTGATAATGATCACTGTCCTCCTGGCCATCATCATGTATATTGCTTGTTTATCACCTCTGGGGTTGCCAGGTGTCCTCCTCTGTAGTTCTGTTCTTTGTTTATCCCAGAAATATGTGTGCTTAATTAGTTTAACTTGTCCCCACATGGGTTTGTTGAAATGCTCAGAAGAAATCTGATTGGTTCTTACGAACACTCTGTAAAAAGTTCCTTTGTGAATAAAACGACCTGGGCCGAGGGGACAGAGATTATTATACGCACCCTTCCCAGAGTCTTGCTAGTTCAAGCCTCTGTGTGTATTCTTATTAATCAGAGTTCAATCCTTCCTTTACTTTGTGAATGCCTCAGATGAGTTCTACGAATGCAACATTCCAAAGCGGAGGAAGCTGAGAGGCAATGCCGGCCATTGGATTGGTTAAAAGTAAAAATGCGCACAGGGAGCCTGGCTGAAGGTTGGTGGGCTGGAGCCCCATTTGCTCTAACTGACCAGCCCCCATTGCTGTCTACGGCACTGCATTCTAAAGGCTGCCCCTTGGACGCTTGGCTGGAGCAAAGAGTTCTCGCCAGTTCACTCTGCCCTTCTCTGCATGATGGGAAGGGTCACGGGCCACGCTGGGAGAGTCAGGACAGACAAAAGAAAGCACTCCTTCATGCATCCAATAGTTAATCTATGGAACTCACTCCCACAGAAGGCAGTGATGGCCACCAATTGGAATGGCTTCAAAAGAAAAATAGACAAGTCCACAGAGAAGCCTATCAATGGCTACTAAGCCATGATGACCCTGTTCTGCTCCTAAATACCTGCTGTGGAGAGCATTGCAGGTGTGCTCCGGTCCTGTTTGTGAGGAGAATCAGAGCTTACAGGTTTAAACAGCTCAGAGTAAGCATCCTGCCCACTGGGGAGTGGTTTCCCTCATATGGAAATCTGTTCTTTGTGTTCAGTCTCCTTTCAGTTTTGACCAAGATGGGAGACAAGATGCTGATGGGAGCCAGTGTGGTGTAGTGGTTAAGAGCGGTAGACTTGTAATCTCGTGAACCGGGTTCGCTTCCCCACTCCTCCACCTGCAGCTGCTGGGTGACCCTGGGCTAGTCACACTTCTTTGAAGTCTCTCAGCCCCACTCACCTCACAGAGTGTTTGTTGTGGGGGAGGAAGGGAAAGGAGAATGTTAGCCGCTTTGAGACTCCTTAGGGTAGTGATAAACCGGGATATCAAATCCAAACTCTCCTTCTTCTGTCTCTGGAGTTTCTGATTTATTGCTGCTGTACATAATAAAGCTTCTTAGATTAGTGAAGAAGCTGCGTACAGACTCTCTTTTCCTGCATGCTCAAACACAAAGCACATGGTGTGCCTACACTCTGCTACAGTCCAGAGAAGCTGAGCAGTGGCAGTGGAAGCGTACCGGACCTCATTACTTCTCACTGTTTGTGGGTTTCCGACAGGCATTAGTCTGGCCAATGGGAGAACAGGATGCTGGGCTGTTCATATTCTAGGACAGTGTTTCCCAAACTTGGGTCTCCAGCTGTTGTTGGACTACAACACCCATCATCCCTAGCTAGCAGGACCAGTGGTCATGGGCAATGGGCACTGTAGTCCAAAAGCTTCTGGAGACCCAAGTTTCCAGAACATGCTTGCTTATTGATGCTCAGAAATTTTGGAGGTCCAACAAGGCAAGTTTGCAATACCAAATGCTGCTGTTTTCTTTGCCATAATAGCTTCACCCTTTCCTGAGAAACTTCCACTTTGACAATACTTCCGTAGACGGGCTGCACTTGGATGAGAACGGACACCTGGCAGCCGCCTTCGATGTTGTGAACGTGTTAGTGCTCCCCAATAAATCAATTGAGAAAGTGAAGGTTGGGAGTGCAGAGAGGCACAACCCCTCAACAATAACGTTTGCTATAGATCCAGATGCCATTGTGTGGCCTGGGTGGTGTAACCAGGTGAGACCTACTTAATTTTCTTTCTTTTTTTTACTAGAAACTCAAAGCCAAGAAGTGAAGGGGACAATGACAGACACAATAGTGTCCCTATTTCCCGGGGACAGTCCTGGATTTACAGAAGCCACCCCAGTTTCTGATTTGATCTCAGAATGTCCCGCTTTTCCTTAGGACACCCCTATTTTCCTTGGGTGAAATTTTGGAGGGTATGGAGTTATCCAACCCCAGAGCCAATGAGATAACTAGACAATCTTTAGAAGCCATCTGAAGGCAGCCCTGTATAGGGAAGATCTTTAATGTTTGATGTTTTATTATGTTTTTATATATGTTGGGCAGCCCAGTCAGCTGGGTGGGGTATAAATACTATTGTTAGTACTACCACCACCATTATCATCATCATCATGGAATAGGACATCCCTATTTTCATCAGAGAAATGTTGGAGGGTATGCAATGAACGTCCTTGCCTTGTGTTGTCCAATTTTATCTTTTTATAAGCCGCCTTGAGTTCCTGTCGGGGCAAAAGCTAGGGTATAAACAAATACCGTATTTTTTGCTCTATAAGACTCACTTCTTCCCTCCTAAAAAGTAAGGGGAAATGTGTATGTGTCTTATGGAGCGAATGCAGGCGGTGCAGCTATCCCAGAAGCCAGAACAGCCAGAGGGATTGCTTCTTTCACTGCGCAGTGATCCCTCTTGCTGTTCTGGCTTCTGAGATTCAGAATATTTTTTTCCCTTGTTTTCCTCCTCCAAAAACCAGGTGCGTCTTGTGGTCTGCTGCATCTTATAGAGGGGGAAATACGGTATATAGTAGTATAGTAATGTTAGGATTCTTGCCCCGTGTTGCAGTCATGGGATTGTTTTATCACATGACAGTGTATGCTTTCATTCCACATTGTGGGAAGTGACGGAGACAGGATGTTTATATTACTGTGTTCCATGATGTGGGACTGTTGTCCTTTGTTCTTTCTCTTTGCTGTCTGATGAGAAAGGGGAAGGAGCTAAGTCAGAACACTCCAAGTGTATTATGTGTAAATAAAGTAGTTTAGCCAATATTGCTGTGCTGTTGAGTCTGTCACGCGGACTGCTAACACTCTGCTGATCCTAAAGTGTGCTGATGCCTCTTGGTTGCTGTAATGTTCGGGCTGGAGAAAGCTTTTGAAGCTCCCGAACAACCGACCAGGAAAGAGAGAACATGCTAGCCGTGCATGTGTCTCTATCGGATTCCTACTCACGTGTAGGACGTTCCTGACAAGTAATAGCAGTACAAACAAACAATTGGATCTCCTTTCAGCCTCTTGACTCATGTACAGAGAGACTGACTGGCCAACCTAGGCTTTCCCATAGTCTTAGCCATACAGTGGTACCTTGGTTGTTGAACAGCTTGGCTCCCAAACAAGTCGGCTCCTGAACACCGCAAACCCAGAAGTGAGTGTTCTGGTTTGCAAACATTTTTCGGAAGCCAAATGTCCAGCACGGCTTCCACAGCTTCCGCTTTAGTGCAGGAAGCTCCTGCAGCCAATTGGAAGCCGCACCTTGGTTTTCGAACAGTTCCGGGAGTCGGAGAATTCTTAATTTAGAATGGGGAACATTTCAGGACTATTTGAAGAACTATTGCAAACCACTTAAAACACTAGCAGGCTTGAATTAAAAACGAGCAGTGAAACAATTTGAGTATAAAGGATAAATAACAAATGTATTTAAATTGGATATGCAGTGATAAGAGATATGACATAAGCAATCGTGGAAAGGGGGCGGAGGGGGTCAATATTAATATTTGGTGATTTAAATTGGATGTGTAAATATGTACTGGTATAAGATTTTAAAAAATTAAAATTTAAAATTTAAAATTTAAAAAATTTAAAATTTAAAAAATTTAAAATTTAAAAAATTTAAAATTTAAAATTTAAAAAATTTAAAATTTAAAATTTAAAAAATTTAAAATTTAAAATTTTAAAAAAATTAAATTTAAAATTTAAAAAATTAGTGCCCAAGTTCTATTGTTATAAGAGAAAGATAAAAACTTTTCTCTGTTCACTTTCTCCACCCACTTCCTTCCTTTTATGAACAGACCCCGCCTCATTCAAGGTGCAGCAAAAGCTGTCGCCAGGGATACACCAAGGTAATTCATGAAGGCCAACCCTTTTTCTGCTACAGTTGCTCACGGTGCATGAAAGGGACAATCTCTGCTCTGGAAGGTAAGAGGGGAGCCCTTGGAGAAGGCAAAGAGAAGGGATTCATATGTCAGCGCCAGCATTTCTGATTATGTACACACTGATGGGGTCGGGGTGCCTCCTTCTTCCCGTTGAAGTGAGGTTGGACAGCTATCTGCCAGAGGTTCTTTAGCTGTGGTTCCTGCATTGAAGGGGTGTGACTCAGTTGATACCTGGGTCCCTTCCAACTCTTCAGTTATATGAATCTATTATTCTAACTCCTACTGGACACTAAATGGCTCATCACATCTTCTCACTCCTTCTCCTGTTGCATGTAGGACTTCTTAACATAACAGAATGTAATACAGAACAGAGATAATAGTGATATATGAATGATGCTGAACTCACTGCTTTTCTTTTCAGATGCAGACCACTGCACCAAATGTCCAGAAGATCAGCATCCAAACAAAGATCAAGATCAATGTGTCCCTAAGATTATCACCTTCCTGTCCTATGAAGAGTCTTTGGGGACCCTCCTGACCTCCTTCACCCTATTCTTGTCCTTAATCACAGGGATTGTGTTAGGAATCTTCATTAAATTCCTAGACACTCCCATAGTCAAAGCAAACAACCGGGACCTCACCTATATCCTTCTTGTCTCCCTCCTGTTTTCCTTTCTGTCCTCTTTCCTGTTCATTGGGCGGCCAAGGAAGATGACCTGCCTTCTCCGACAATCTGCCTTCAGTGTCATCTTCTCAGTTGCCGTCTCTTCCGTGTTGGCCAAAACCATCACAGTGGTCTTGGCTTTCCTAGCCACAAAGCCAGGGAACAGGGTGAGGAGATGGCTGGGGAAGAGTTTGGCCAACTCCATTGTCATTTCCTGTTCCACTGTCCAAGTTCTCATCTGCACCATCTGGCTTGGAATGTTTCCACCATTCCCAGATTCCGACATGCACTCCCAGCCTGGAGAGATCACCCTGCAGTGCAATGAAGGGTCTGTTGCCATGTTTTACATTGCCCTTGGCTACATGGGCTTCCTGGCTGCCATCAGCTTCACAGTAGCTTTTTTTGCCAGGAAGCTGCCTGGGGCCTTCAATGAAGCCAAGCTGATCACCTTCAGCATTCTGGTCTTCTGCAGTGTTTGGGTGTCCTTTGTGCCCACCTACCTGAGCACCAAGGGGAAATACATGGTGGCTGTGCAGATCTTCTCTATCTTCGCTTCCAGTGCTGGGCTTCTGGGCTGCATCTTCCTTCCCAAGTGCTACATTATTGTATTCAGACCTGAACTGAATACAAAAGAGCATCTAATGATGCAAACATCTGACAATAGGAACTAGAAATGGAGACAAGTTCTGTCCCCACTGATATCTAGACCAGAACCATAGCTTCTGATAACGCCAAATCTTTATCTAGGATGGCTCCAAGACGTTATTCCTTTTGTGAAATTAACAAGGCTGTGGTTAAAACTTAGTTGGAAAACTAAAATGCATCAGAGAATATAAAACACCCAAAATAAATGGTTGGATTCGCACCACATCCCACCCCAGAAATGCCCGCAGAGATATGCTTGAGACATGAGTGGAATCAAAAATAGGGTTCTCTTTTATTTTATCCTGTAGAGGGAAATTGAAGCCATACAGAAGGGTCTCAAAATGAAAAGAAAAAACAACAGAGGAGGTGCCTGAGTTTGTAGCGATCCGCTCTTCTTCCTTTTGTTATTCCGGGTTTTGCCAGAGCAGGAGGCACTTCAGACCTTTGGGACTATCAAGGGGTGGAATAAGCAAATTGGGCCACACACTTCCGCTTGTCCCATTTCTAGAAAAAAATCCCTTTACCCCACTACTTTCCCTTGGATAACCCTCTCTTGAGCGCTAAATCAGAGCAAACCTCAAGATGGAGAAAACCCAATCAATGTTTGCTCCGACTCAGCGGTAAAAAGTGGCTTCTTCCCAAGGGGAAAGCAGAGATGTGGATGAGCCTTGCATTTGGAGAAATCCTTCTTCCCTCTTCACAGCCACTGCTCTGTCCCAGCTGCTCTGCCCCCCCTCCTTATCCGGTGGAAGGAAGATAATAATAATATTAATACTTTTTTGTTTATACCCCGCCCTTCCCGGTTCAGAAAACTGGGCTCAGGGCAGCTAACAACAAATTTAAAACACTTAATTGATGCAACAAAAAACAGCATAAAATACAGTATAAAACGTAACAATAAATTCAGAATTAAAAAATCAATTTAGGGGGGAAATCCATCCAATAGACATTAGATGATCACCAGGGCTAGCTGGCTAAATTAGCCCTATTTGGGTCAGCGAGGAGACCAGACGCCAGCAGAGTCCGCCTGGGAAGCGATGGGCTGCATTCTTCATCATTCATTCCCCTGTTTAGTTTCGGCTGCAGTGGAGGAAAGAGCATAAGAATCTCCTTTGGCCAAGCATTCACCCAGTGGCGTAGCATGGGTTGTCAGCACCCGGGGCAAGGCAAGGAATTTGCGCCCCCTAACCCGTGGATTTGCGCCCCCTAACCCGTGGATTTGCGCCCCCTAACCCTAACCCCCAGATGTTGCGCCCGGTGCGGCCGGCCCCCCCTGCACCCCCCACGCTACGCCACTGCATTCACCCACAAGTGTCCCAATATGCTCTGGGGAAACAGAGGCAGGAGATCCAGATGGCAACCCCCCCATATGCCCAACTACTGCCGTTTCATGCCCTTCCCCAAACCTGGCAGCCCAGGTGGGGCCCCTCAACCTTCCCAACAGGAGGCCTGGCCTCCATTCAAGTCGCTTTAATCCAGGATGCTAAATCCGTGGTTCCCAAAATGGGCAGTACCATGCCCTGGGGGGCAGTGGGATGACTTGGGGTGGTGCTAAGAGGCAGGGGGGCAGCAAGGGGGGCAGTGCTGGAAGTGTAAATGACTATCAGGCTTTAAAAATCTGGCAGCACTGCATCAAACTCATCCGTTTTGTTGAATCAATTAAAGAGCTGAATTGGGTTTTGAATAAACATGCAATTCATTGCCACTGTTTTGAATTTTATTGTGTTATTGCCTTCATTCGTGGGTCGTGAAAACTGCTGTTTTGAATAATGCTTTTTATAGGGTAGGCAGCGGCGTAGCATGGGTTGTCAGCACCCGGGGCAAGGCAAGTAATTTGCGCCCCCAAACCCCTAACCTGCCGCCGCTGCCAGCTTCTTCTTGCTGCTGCCTGGGCTGGGCTGGTGTGGTTATCTCCCGCGCTCAGCGCTGCACTGGGTGACCGCTGCACTGTCCCTCCCCCAGATAGTCCCTCGCTCTCTCTCCGAACCGCACGCCTGGCACCCACCCCCTCCACAGTGTGCGGCGACCCAGCTGCTCGGATCGGATTCGCACAGCCAGCACTGCAGTGAGAGTGAGTGAGCTAGGTAGGGGCAGAGAGCTGCGAGTGCGAGCGAGCGCCCCCCCAGATGTTGCGCCCGGTGCGGCCGGCCCCCCCTGCACCCCCCACGCTATGCCACTGAGGGTAGGGTAGGACATAGCTGTCAACTTTTCTTGCGAGGAATCCTATTCGGAATAAGGGAATTTTCCTTTTAAAAAGGGAAACATTGATAACTATGAGGGGAGGATGATTTTTGGGGAACCAAGGGGGCAGAGGCCCTAAAAGGTTTGGAAACCACTCCCCTATATCACGTCCTGCCCCCCGAAGAAAGCTGGATTATGGTCTGGGATGGCCTTTGGTAGTTTCGAGCCAGTTCAGATTTGCACAAGGCAATCTCCGTTCATACTCTACCTGTACTGCAGGGGGCGCTGTACTCTGCATCAGCACCTTCATCTGGAAAGAGAGGGAAGCAACAGAGAAAGATGGTCAGGCCAGCCCCCCCAGAGCTTTCTCCATCACCACTTTTAGACAAGTGGGTGGTTTTTAAGGGGTTGGTTGCAGAATGCTCATAAAAGCAGCTATTGCATGACGGTTCTAAATTTTGCTTTGGGAGTTAACTAAGAAGTGGGATATGTGAACCTTAATGGTCTTCAATGTGGGGGGCCTTTCTCACCTGTTTCATAGTAATCATAGACTCTTGCCACAGCCGGCTTTAAGTTCTGGACAGGCACATCCTGCTCCACAGTGAAGGTGTAGCTCTGGGTCATGTTGGTCACCTGTGGACAAGCAGGTGGGATCATCACTTGAGATACAGAATCACAAGACTGCTGAGGTTCTGTGTCCAGGGCAGCTGTCTACTCGCTCCATCTGGTGCGCAGGCTGAGACCCTCCTTGCCCACAGACTGACTCGCCAGAGTGGTGCATGCTCTGGTTATCTTCCACTTGGACTACTGCAATGCGCTCTATGTGGGGCTACCTTTTAGGTGATCCAGAAACTCCAACTAATCCAGAATGTGGCAGCTAGACTGGTGACTGGGAGTGGCAGCCGAGACCATATAACACCAGTCCTGGAAGACCTTCCTTGGCTCCCAGTACGTTTCCGAGCACAAGTCAAAGTGTTGGTGCTGATCTTTAAAGCTCTAAAGAGCCTCTGTCCAGTATACCTGAAGGAGCGTCTCCACCCCCATCGTTCAGCCTGAGGTCCAGTTCCAAGGGCCTTCTGGCAGTTCCCTCACTGTGAAAAGTGAGGTTACAGGGAACAAGGCAGCCCTGTTTAGGGAAGTTTTTAATGTTTGATGTTTTATTGTGTTTTTAATATTCTGTTGGGAGCCTGCCAGAGTGGCTGGGGAACCC